CCTGAGCTCACTTCCCTGAGCTCACTTTCTTAAGCCCACTTCCCTGACATGAGCTCACTTCCCTGACCTCACTTCTCTGAGCTCACTTCCCTGAGGTGAGATCACTTCCCTGAGCTCACTTCTCTGAGCTCACGTCCCTGAGCTCACTTTATTGAGCTCACTTCTCTGAGCTTACATCCCTGAGCTCACATCCCTGAGCTCACTTCCCTGAGGTAAGCTCACTTTCCTGAGCTCAATTCTCTGAGCTCACTTCCCTGAGCTCACTTCCCTGAGCTCACTTCCCAGAGGTGAATTCATTTTCCTGAGCTCACTTCCCTGAGCTCTCTTCCCTAAGGTGAGCTCACTTCCCTGAGCTCACTTCTCTCAGCCTACTTCGCTGAGCTCACTTCCCTAAGGTGAGCTCACTTCCCTGAGCTCACTTTTGTGAGCTCACCTTCTTGAGATCACTTCTCTGAGCTCACTTCCGTGAGGTGAGATCACTTCCCTGAGCTCACTTCCCTGAGCTCACTTCTCTGAGCTCACTTCCCTGTGGTGAGCTCATTTCCCTAAGCTCACTTGCCTGAGCTCACTTCACTGAGGTCAGCTCACTTCCCTGACCTCACTTCCCTAAGCAGACTTCTCTGAGCTCACTACCCTGAGGTGAGCTCACATCCCTGAGCTCACTTCTCTGAGCTCACTTCCCTGAGCTCACTTCCCTGAGCTCACTTCCCTGAGGTGAGCTTACTTCCCTGAGCTCACTTCCCTGAGCTCACTTCCCTGAGCAAACTTCTCTGAGCTCACATCCCTGAGGTGAGCTCATTTCCCTGAGCTCACTTCCGTGAGCTCACTTTCTTGAGCTCACTTCCCTGAGGTGAGCTCACTTCTCTGAGCTCACTTCCCTGTGCTCACTTCCCTGAGGTGAGCTCACTTTTATGAGCTCACTTCTCTGAGCTCACTTCGCTGAGCTCACCTCCCTGAGCTCACTTTCTTGAGCTCACTTCCCTGAGGTGAGCTCACTTCCCAGACCTCACTTCTCTGAGCTTTCTTCACTTTGGTGAGCTCACTTCCCTGAGCTCACTTCCCTTAGCTCAATTCACTGAGCTCACTTCCCTGAGCTCACTATCCTGAGGTGAGCTCACTTCCCTGAGCTCACTTCCCTGATCTCACTTCCCTAAGGTGAGCTCACTATCCTGAGCTCACTTCTCTGAGCTCACTTTCTTGAGCTCACTTCTCTCAGCTCACTTCCGTGAGGTGAGCTCACATCCCTGAGCTCACTTCCCTGAGCTCACTTCCCTGAGATGAGCTCATTTCCCTGAGCTCACTTGCCTGAGCTCACTTTCTTGAGCTCACTTTCCTGAGTTGACCTCACTTCTCTGACCTCACTTATCTGAGCACACTTCCCTGAGCTCACTTCACTGAGCTCACATCTCTGAGCTCACTTCCCTGAGCTCACTTCCCTAAGGTGAGCTCACTTCCCTGAGGTGAGCTCACTTCCCTCAGATCACGTCAGTGAGCTCACTTCCCTGAGCTTACTCCCCTAAGGTGAGCTCACTTCCCTGAGCTCACTTTTCTGAGCTCACTTCTCTAAGCTCACATCCCTGAGCTCACTCCCCTGATAAGAGCTCACCTCCCTGAGCTCACTTCCCTGAGGTCAGCCCACTTCCATGAGCTCACATTCCTGAGCACACTTGGATGGGCTCACGTCTTTGAGTTGAGCTCACGTCCCTGAGGTGAGAACACTTTCCTAAGCTCAGGGAACTGAGCTCACCTTAGGGAGTAGAGCTCAGAGACCTTAGGTCAGGGAAGTGAGCTCACCCTAGGGAGTTGAGCTCAGAGACCTTAGGTCAGGGAAGTGAGCACACCTCAGGGAAGTGAGCTCAAGAAAGTTAGCTCAGGGAAGTAAGCTCACCTTAGGGAAGTGAGCTTAGGGAAGTGAGCTTAGGGAAGTGAGCTCAGAGAAGTGAGCTCAGGGAAGTAAGCTCAGTGAAGTGAGCTCACCTCATGGAAGTGAGCTCACGGATGTGAGCTCAAGGAAGTGAGCTAAGAGAAGTGAGCTCAAGAATGTGACCTCAGGGAAGTTAGCTCACCTCAGGGACGTGAGCTCAGGAAAGTGAGCTCACGGAAGCGAGCTTAGGGAAGTGAGCTCACCTCAGGGAAGTGAGCTCAGGGAAGTGGGCTCAGAGCTCAGGGAAGTGGGCTCAACGAATTTAGCGAAGGGAAGTGAGCTCAGAGAAGTGAGCTCAGGGAAGTGAGCTCAGGGAAGTGAGCTCAACTCAGGGAAGTGAGCTCAGAGAAGTGAGCTCAGGAAACTGAGCTCAGGGAAGTGTGCTCAGGGAAATGAGCTCACCTTAGGGAAGTGATCTCAGGGAAGTGAGCTCAGGGAAGTGAGCTCACTTCAGGAAAGTGAACTCAGGGATGTGAGCTCAGAGAAGTAAGCTCAGAAAAGCGAGGTCAGGAAAGTGAGCTCACCAGCTTAGGAAAGTGAGCTCAGAGAAATGAGCTCAGGGAAGTGACCTCAGGGAAGTGAGCTCACCTCAGGGAAGTGAGCTTAGGGAAGTGAGCTCAGGCAAGTAAGCTCACCTCAAGGAAGTGAGCTCACCTCAGAGAAGTGAGGTCAGGGAAGTGAGCTTAGGGAAGTGAGCACAGGGAAGTGAGCTCACCTCAGGGAAGTGAGCTCTGTGAAGTGAGCTCAGGGAAATGAGCTCACCAGGGAACTGAGCTCAGGGAAGCGAGCTCACCTTAAGGAAGTGAGCTCAACGAAGTGAGCTCAGGGAAGTGAGCTCAGGGATATGAGCACACTTCAGGAAAGTGTGCTCAGGGAAGTGAGCTCAGAGAAGTGGGCTCCAGGAATTGAGCTCACCTCTGGAAAGTGAGCTCACCTCAGGGAAGTGAGCTCAGGGACGTGAGCTCACCTCAGGGAAGTCAGCTCAGCAATGTGAGGAAAGGGAAGTGAGCTCAGAGAAGTGAGCTCAGGGATGTGAGCTCAGGGAAGTTAGCCCACCTCAGGGAAGTGAGCTCAGAGATGTGAGCTCATGAAAGTTAGCTCAGGGAAGTGAGCTGAGGGAAATGAGCTCACCTTATGGAAGTGAGCTCAGGGAAGGTAGCTCAGGGAAGTGAGCTCACCTCAGGGAAGTGAGCTCAGGGAGGTGAGCTCAGAGATGTGAGCTCAGGGAAGTGAGCTCAGGCAAGTGAGCTCACCTCAGGGAAGTGAGGTCACGGAAGTGAGCTCACCTCAGGGAAGTGAGCTCTAGAAAGTAAACTCAGGGAAGTGAGCTCAGGGAAGTGAGCTCAGGGAAATGAGCTCAATCAGGGAAGTGAGCTCAGGGAATTGAGCTCACTTCAGGAAAGTGAGCTTAGGAAAGTGAGCTCAGAGACGTGAGCTCATCTCACGGGAGTGAGCTCAGAGAATTGAGCTCAGGGAAGTGAGCTCAGTGAAGTCAGCTCACCACAGGGAAGTGATCTCAGTGAAGTGAGGTCAGGGAAGTGAGCTCACCTCAGGGAAGTGAGCTCAAGAAAGTGAGCTCAGGGAATGAGCTCAGGGAAATGAGCTCAATCAGGGAAGTGAGCTCAGGGAAGTGAGCTCACTTCAGAAAAGTGAGCTTAGAGACGTGAGCTCACCTCACGGAAGTGAGCTCAGAGATGTGAGCTCTGGGATGTGAGCTAAGAGAAGTGAGATAAAGAAGGTGAGCTCAGGGAAGTTAGCTCATGGATGTGAGCTTAGGAAATTGAGCTCAGGGAAGTGACCTCAGGGAAGTGACCTCAGAGTAGTGAGCTCACCTCAGGGACGTGAGTTCAAGAAATTGAGTTTAGGGAACTGAGCTCACCTCAGGCAAGTGAGCTCAGGGAAGTGAGCTTAGGGAAGTCAGCTCACATCAGGGAAGTGATCTTAGGTAAGTAAGCTCAGAGAAGTGAGCTCAGGGATGTAAGCTTAGGGAAGTGAGCTCACCTCAGGGACGTGAGCTCAAGAAAGTGAGCTCACGGAAATGAGCTCAGGGAAGTGAGCTTAAGGAAGTGAGCTCATGGAAGTGAGCTCTCCTCGGGGATGTGAGCTCAGGGATGTGCGCTCGGAGAAGTATGCTCAAGGTGGTGAGCTCATCCCAGGGAAGTGAGCTCAACAAAGTAAGCTCAGGGAAGTGAGCTCAGGGAAATGAGCTCACCTCAAGGAAATGAGCTCAGGGAAGTGAGCTCAGAGAAGTGAGCTGAGGGAAGTGAGCTCACCTCAGGGATGTGAGCTCAGAGATGTGAGCTCAGAGAAGTGAACTCAAGAATGTGAGATCAAAGATGTCAGCTTACCTCGGGGAGGTGAGCTCAGGGAAGTGAGCTCAGGGAAGTGAGCTCAGAGAAGTGAGCTGAGGAAAGTGAGCTCAGGGAAGTGAGCTCACCTCAAAGAAGTAAGCTCATGGAAGTGAGCTCACCTTAGGGAAGTGAGCTCAGGAAAGTGAGCTCAGGGAAGTGAGCTCAGTGAAGTTATCTCAGGGATGTGAGCTCACCACAGGGAAGTGAGCTCACATTAGGGAAGTGAGCTCAGAGATGTGAGCTCAAGGAAGTGAGCTCAGGGAAGTGAGCTCACCTTAGGGAAGTGAGCTCAGAGAAGTGAGGTCAGGGGAGTGAGCTCACCTCAGGGAAGTGAGCTTAGGAAAGTGAGCTCAGGGAAATGAGATCAGGGAAGTGACCTCAGGGAAGTGAGCTCACCTCAGGGAAGTCAGGTCAGGAAGTGAGCTCACCTTAGGGAAGTCAGCTCACCTCATAAAAGTGAGCTCACCTCAGGGAAGTGAGCTCAAAGAAAGGAGTTCACCTCAGAGAAGTGAGCTCACTTAACTGAGCTAAGGGAACTGACCTCGGGGAAGTGAGTTCAGGGATGTAAGCTCACCTCAGGGATGTGAGCTAAGATAAGTGAGCTAAGGGAAGTGAGCTCACCTCAGGGAAGTGAGCTAGAGAAACTGAGCTCAGTGAAGTCAGCTCAGGGAAGTGAGCTCACCTCAGGGATGTGGGCACAGGGAATTGAGCTCAGAGAAGTGAGTTCAAGGAAGTGAGCTCAGGGAAGTAAGCTCACCTCTCTCTCTCTCTCTCTCTCTCTCTCTCTCTCTCTCTCTCTCTCTCTCTCTCTCTCTCTCTCTCTCTCTCTCTCTCCCTCTCTCTCTCTCTCTCTCTCTCTCTCTCTCTCTCTCTCTCTCTCTCTCTCTCTCTCTCTTCTCTCTCATTTCTCTCTCTTTCTCTCAATCTCTCTCTCTCTCTCTTTCTCTCTCTATCTCTCTGTCTCTCTCTCTCTCTTTCTCTCTCTCTCTCTCCTATCTTTTCCCCTCTCTTTCTCTCTCTCTCTCTCTCTCTCTCTCTCTCTCTCTCTCTCTCTCTCTCTCTCTCTCTCTCTCTCTCTCTCTATCTATCTCTCTCTCTTTTCTCTCTCTAAGCTTGCCATTCACTAAGCTTGTATGCCATTCACTCATGCTCGCATGCCATTCTCTCAAGCTCACATGCCCTTCTCCAAAGCTCGCGTGCCATTCTCTCAAGCTCGCATGCCATTCACCCAAGCCCGCATGCCATTCTCTCAAGCTCACAGGCCATTCTCCCACGCTTGCATGCCATTCTCTCTAGCTTGCATGCCATTCTACCAAACTCGCATGCCATTCTCTGAAGGTCGCATGGCATTCTCTCAAGCTCGGATGCCATTCTCCCAAGCTCGCATGCAATTCTCTCAAACTCGCATGCCACTCATTCAAGCTCAGATGCCATTCTCTCAAGCTCGCATGCCACTCAAGCTCGTATGCCATTATCTCAAGCTTGCATGCCTTTCTTTCAAGCTTGCATGCAATCCTCTCAAGCTTGCATGCCATTCTCTCAAGCTCGCATGCCATTCTCCCAAGTTCGCATGCCATTCTCTCAAGCTCGCATGCCATACACTCAAGCTCGCATGCCACTTTTTCAAGCTCGCATGCCATATTCTCAAGCTCGCATGCTAGTCTTTAAAGCTTGCATGCCATTATCTGAAGCTCGTATGCCATTCTCCCAAGCTCGCAAGCCATTCTCTCAAGCTCGCATGCCAATCATTCAAGCTCGCATGCAAGTCTCTCAAGCTCGCAGTCCATTTTCTCAAGCGCGCATGCCATTGACTCAAGCTCGCATGCCATATTTTTAAGCTTGCATGCCATTCAATCAAGATTGTATGCCATTCTCTCAAGCTCTCATGCCATTCTCTCAAGCTGGCATGCCATTCTCTCAAGCTCGCAAGCCATTCTCTGAAGCACGCATGCCATTCTCTCAAGCTCGCATGCCAGGTTCTGAAGCTCGCATGCCATTTACTCAAGCTCGCATGCCATTTACTCAAGCTCGCATGCCATTTACATAAGCTCGCATGCCATTCACTCAAGCTCTTTCCATTATCTCAAGCTCGTATGCCATTCTCTCAGGCTTGAATGCCATTCTCCCAAGCTCACATGCCATTATCTCAAGCCGGCATGCCATTCACTCAAGCTAGCATGCTATTCTCTCAAGCTCACAGGCGTTTCTCCAAAGCTTGCATGCCATTCTCTCAAGCTGGCATGCCACTCATCCAAGCTCGCATGCCATTCTCTCAATCGCACATGCCATTCACTCAAGCTCGCTTGTCATTCTCTGAAGCTCACATGCCATTTTTTCTAGCTTGCATATCATTCACTCAAACTTGCATGCCATTCTCTCAAGCTCACATGCCATTCTCTCAAGCTTGCAAGCCTATCACTCAAGCTCGCATGCCATTCCCCCAAGCTCAAATGCCATTCTCTCAAGCTCGCATGTCATTCACTCAAGCTCGCATGTCATTCACTCATTCTCGCATGCCATTCTTTCAAGCTTTCATGCCATTCTCTCAAACTCCCCTGCCATTAAGCTCCCATGCTATTCTCCAAAGGTCGCATGCTATTCCCTCAAGCTCGCACGCCAGATATTCAAGCTCGCATGCCATTCTATCAAGCTCGCATGCCATTTTCTGAAGCTCGCATGCGATAACCTTAACCGCGCATGCCATTCACTCAAGCTCGCTTCCCATTCTCTGAAGCTCGCATGCCAATTTTTAAAGCTTGCATGCCATTCACTCAAGCTCGCATGCCATTCTCTGAAGCTCGCTTGCCATTCTCTCAAGCTGGCATGCCATTCTCTCAAGCTCGCAAGCCATTCTCTGAAGCACGCATGCCATTCTCTCAAGCTCGCATGCCAGGTTCTGAAGCTCGCATGCCATTTACTCAAGCTCGCATGCCATTTACTCAAGCTCGCATGCCATTTACATAAGCTCGCATGCCATTCACTCAAGCTCTTTCCATTATCTCAAGCTCGTATGCCATTCTCTCAGGCTTGAATGCCATTCTCCCAAGCTCACATGCCATTATCTCAAGCCGGCATGCCATTCACTCAAGCTAGCATGCTATTCTCTCAAGCTCACAGGCGTTTCTCCAAAGCTTGCATGCCATTCTCTCAAGCTGGCATGCCACTCATCCAAGCTCGCATGCCATTCTCTCAATCGCACATGCCATTCACTCAAGCTCGCTTGTCATTCTCTGAAGCTCACATGCCATTTTTTCTAGCTTGCATATCATTCACTCAAACTTGCATGCCATTCTCTCAAGCTCACATGCCATTCTCTCAAGCTTGCAAGCCTATCACTCAAGCTCGCATGCCATTCCCCCAAGCTCAAATGCCATTCTCTCAAGCTCGCATGTCATTCACTCAAGCTCGCATGTCATTCACTCATTCTCGCATGCCATTCTTTCAAGCTTTCATGCCATTCTCTCAAACTCCCCTGCCATTAAGCTCCCATGCTATTCTCCAAAGGTCGCATGCTATTCCCTCAAGCTCGCACGCCAGATATTCAAGCTCGCATGCCATTCTATCAAGCTCGCATGCCATTTTCTGAAGCTCGCATGCGATAACCTTAACCGCGCATGCCATTCACTCAAGCTCGCTTCCCATTCTCTGAAGCTCGCATGCCAATTTTTAAAGCTTGCATGCCATTCACTCAAGCTCGCATGCCATTCTCTGAAGCTCGCTTGCCATTCTCTCAAGCTGGCATGCCATTCTCTCAAGCTCGCAAGCCATTCTCTGAAGCACGCATGCCATTCTCTCAAGCTCGCATGCCAGGTTCTGAAGCTCGCATGCCATTTACTCAAGCTCGCATGCCATTTACTCAAGCTCGCATGCCATTTACATAAGCTCGCATGCCATTCACTCAAGCTCTTTCCATTATCTCAAGCTCGTATGCCATTCTCTCAGGCTTGAATGCCATTCTCCCAAGCTCACATGCCATTATCTCAAGCCGGCATGCCATTCACTCAAGCTAGCATGCTATTCTCTCAAGCTCACAGGCGTTTCTCCAAAGCTTGCATGCCATTCTCTCAAGCTGGCATGCCACTCATCCAAGCTCGCATGCCATTCTCTCAATCGCACATGCCATTCACTCAAGCTCGCTTGTCATTCTCTGAAGCTCACATGCCATTTTTTCTAGCTTGCATATCATTCACTCAAACTTGCATGCCATTCTCTCAAGCTCACATGCCATTCTCTCAAGCTTGCAAGCCTATCACTCAAGCTCGCATGCCATTCCCCCAAGCTCAAATGCCATTCTCTCAAGCTCGCATGTCATTCACTCAAGCTCGCATGTCATTCACTCATTCTCGCATGCCATTCTTTCAAGCTTTCATGCCATTCTCTCAAACTCCCCTGCCATTAAGCTCCCATGCTATTCTCCAAAGGTCGCATGCTATTCCCTCAAGCTCGCACGCCAGATATTCAAGCTCGCATGCCATTCTATCAAGCTCGCATGCCATTTTCTGAAGCTCGCATGCGATAACCTTAACCGCGCATGCCATTCACTCAAGCTCGCTTCCCATTCTCTGAAGCTCGCATGCCATTTTTTAAAGCTTGCATGCCATTCACTCAAGCTCGCATGCCATTCTCTGAAGCTCGCTTGCCATTCTCTCAAGCTGGCATGCCATTCTCTCAAGCTCGCAAGCCATTCTCTGAAGCACGCATGCCATTCTCTCAAGCTCGCATGCCAGGTTCTGAAGCTCGCATGCCATTTACTCAAGCTCGCATGCCATTTACTCAAGCTCTTTCCATTATCTCAAGCTCGTATGCCATTCTCTCAGGCTTGAATGCCATTCTCCCAAGCTCACATGCCATTATCTCAAGCCGGCATGCCATTCACTCAAGCTAGCATGCTATTCTCTCAAGCTCACAGGCGTTTCTCCAAAGCTTGCATGCCATTCTCTCAAGCTGGCATGCCACTCATCCAAGCTCGCATGCCATTCTCTCAATCGCGCATGCCATTCACTCAAGCTCGCTTGTCATTCTCTGAAGCTCACATGCCATTTTTTCTAGCTTGCATATCATTCACTCAAACTTGCATGCCATTCTCTCAAGCTCACATGCCATTCTCTCAAGCTTGCAAGCCTATCACTCAAGCTCGCATGCCATTCCCCCAAGCTCAAATGCCATTCTCTCAAGCTCGCATGTCATTCACTCAAGCTTGCATGCCATTCTTTCAAGCTTTCATGCCATTCTCTCAAACTCCCCTGCCATTAAGCTCCCATGCTATTCTCCAAAGGTCGCATGCTATTCCCTCAAGCTCGCACGCCAGATATTCAAGCTCGCATGCCATTCTATCTAGCTCGCATGCCATTTTGTGAAGCTCGCATGCGATAACCTTAACCGCGCATGCCATTCACTCAAGCTCGCTTCCCATTCTCTGAAGCTCGCATGCCATTTTTTAAAGCTTGCATGCCATTCACTCAAGCTCGCATGCCATTCTCTGAAGCTCGCTTGCCATTCTCTCAAGCTCGCAAGCCATTCTCTCAAGCTCGCATGCCATTCTCTCAAGCTCGCAGGCCATTTTCCCAATCTCACATTGCATTCACTCAAGCTCGCATCTGTTATCTCAATCTGGTGTGCCATTCTCTCAAGCTTGCATGCCTTTCTCTCAAGGTCGCATGCCATTCTCTTAAGCTTTAATACCATTTTCCCAAGCTCGCATGCCATTCACTCAAGCCCGCATGCCATTCTGTCAAGCTCACAGGCAATTCTCCCAAGCTCGCATGCCATTCTCCCAAGCTCGCATGCCATTCTCTTAAGCTCGCATGCCATTCTCTCAAGCTCGCATGCCATTCACCCAAGCTCGCATGCCATACTTTCAAGCTCGCATGCCATTCATTGAATCTCGCATGCCATTCTCTCAAGCTTGCATGCCATTGCCTGAAGCTCGCATGCCATTTTTCCAAGCTCGCATGCCAATTATTCAAGCTCGCATGCCAATCATTCAAGCTCGTATGCCATTCTCTCAAGCTCGCATGCCAATCTCTGAAGCCCGCATGCCTTTCACTCGAGATCCCATGCCATCGCATGCGATTCTCTCAAGCTCGCATGCCATTCTCTCAACCTGGCATGCCATTTCTCTGAAGTTCGCATGCCAATCTCTAAGATCGCATGCCATTCACTCATACTCTCAGGCCATTCTCCCAAGCTCGCATGCCATCACATGCCATACTCTCAAGCTCGCATGCCATACTCTCAAGCTCGCATGCCATACTCTCATTCTCGCATGCCATTCTCTCAAGCTCGCATGCCAATCTCTGAAGCTCACATTCTATTCTCGCATGCCATTCTCTCAAGCTCGCATGCCATTCTCTCAAGCTCGCATGCCATTCACTCAAGCTCGCATGCCATTCTCTGAAGCTCGCATGCCATTCACTAAACCTTGCATGCCATTCAATCAAGCTCCCATGACACTGATTCAAGCTCCCATGCCATTCTCACAGGCTCGCCATTCTCTCAAGCTCGCATGCAATTCACTCAAGCTCTCATGTTATTCTCTGAAGCTCGCATGCCAGTCCCTGAAGCTTGCATGCCATTCACTCATGCGGGCATGCCATTCTCTCAAGCTCGCCTGCCATTCTCTCAAGCTCGAATGCCATCCTCTGAAACTCGCATCCCGTATTCCCAAGCTTGCATGCCATTCTCTCAAGCTCGCATGCCATTCACTCAAGCTCGCATGCCATTTTCTCAAGCTCGCATGCCATTCCCTGAAGCTTGCAAGCCATCGCATGCGATTCTCTCAAGCTCGCATACCATTCCCTCAAGCTCGCATGCCATTTCTCTCAAGCTCGCATGCCATTCTCCCAAGCTCGCATCCCATCCTCCCCAACTCCCATGCTATTCTCTAATGCTCGCATGTTATTCTCTCAAGCTCGCATGCCAAACTCTGAAGCTCGCATGACATTCTCTCGAACTCGCAAGCCATTCACTCAAGCTCGCATGGCATTCTCTCGAGCTCGCATGCCATTCTGTCAAAGTCGCAAGCCATTCACTTAAGATTGCGTGCCATCGCATGCCATTCTCTCATGCCGGCATGCCATTCACTAAGATTGCATGCCATTCACTCATGCTCGCAAACCATATCTCTCAAGCTCGCGTGTCATTGTCTTAAGCTCGCATGCCCTCTTCTCGCATGCCATTCACTCAAGCTCGCATGCCATTCTCACAAGCTCCCATGCCATTCTCTCAAGCTCGCATGCCATTCACTAAGCATGCATGCCATTCACTCATGTTCGCAAGCCATATCTTTCAATCTCGCGTGCCATTCTCTCAAGCTCGCATGCCATTTTCTCAAACTCGCATGCAGTTCTCCCAAGCCGGCATATCATCGCATGCCATACTCTCAAGCTCGAATGCCATTCGAACCAGCTCTCATGCCATTCTCTCAAGCTTGCATGCTATTCCATCAACCTTGCATGCCATTTCTCTCAAGCTCACATTCCATTCTCTCATGCCATTCACTCAAGCTTGCATGGCATTTTCTCAAGCTCTCATGCCATTCTCTGAAGCTCGCATGCCATTTACTCAAACTTGCATTCTTGAGAGAATGGCATACAAGCTTGAATGAGTGGCATGCCAGCTTGAGAGAATGCCAAGCGAGCTTGAGAGAATGCCATGCGAGCTTGAGAAAAATGCTATGTGATCTTGAAAGAATGGCATGCCAGCTTGAGAGAATGGCATGCGAGCTTGGGATAATGGCCCGTGAGCTTGAGTGAATGGCATGCAGGCTTGACTGAATGGCATGCGAGCTTGAGATAATGGAATGCGAGCTTGAGTGAATAGCTTGCTAGCTTGAGAGATCGGCCTGTGAGCTTGAGAGAATGGCATCCGAGCTTGAGTGAATGGCATACAAGCTTGAAAAAGTGGTGTGCGAGCTTGAGAGAATGGCATGCGAGCTTGAGAGAATTGCATGTGAGCTTGAATGATTGGCACGCGAGCTTGAGAGAATGGCATGCGAGCTTGGGATAATGGTGTGCGAGTTTCAGAGAATGGCATGCAAGCTTGAGAAAATGGCATGCGAGCTACGAAGACTGGCATGCAAGCTTGAGTGAATGCCATGCAAGCTTGAGAGACTGCCATGGGAGCTTAGGAGAATGGCATGCGAGCTTGAGAAAATGGCATGCAAGCTCAAGAGAATGGCATGCAAGCTTGGGAGAGTGGTCTGTGAGCTTAAGAGAATGGCATGCAGGCTTGATTGAATGGCATGCAAGCTAGAGAGAAAACATGCAAGCTTGAGAGAAAGGCATGCAAGCTTGAGAGAATGGCATACGAGATTGAGATGCAAGAATGCGAGCTTGAGTGAATGGCAAAGCAAGCTTGAATCAATGGCATGAGAATGGCATGCGAACTTGAGAGAATGGCATGCGTGCTTCAGATAATGGCATACTAGCTTGAGTGAATGGCATGCGAGCTTGAGAGAATGGCATGCAAGCTTGAATGAGTGGCATGCGAGCTTGAGAGAATGGCATGCGAGCTTGGGAGACTGAAATGCGAGCTTGAGAGAATGCCATGCGAGCTTCAGAGAATGGCATGCAAGCTTGGGAGAATAGCATGCAAGCTTGAGAGAATGGCATGCAAGCTTGAGAGAATGGCATGCAAGCTTGGAAGAATGGCCTGTGAGCTTGAGCGAATGGCCTGCGAGATTTGGAGAAGGGCATGCGCGCTACAGAGAATGGCATGTGAGCATGAGTGAATGGCATACAAGCTTAGTGAATGGCAAGCAAGCTTGAAGGAATGCCATGCGAGCATGAGAGAATGGCATGCAATGGCATGTGAGCTTGAGTGTATGGCATGCAAGTTTGAAAGAATGGCATGCGAGCTTGAGAAAATGGAATGCGGGCTTTGGTGAATGGCATGCGAGATTCAGAGAATGGCATGGGAGCTTGAGAGAATGGCATGCAAGCTTCAGAGGATGGCATGCGAGCTTGAGAGAATGGCAGGGGAGCTTCAGAGGATAACATGCGTGCATGAGTGAATGGCATGCAAGCTTCAAAGACTAGCATGCGATCTTCATAGAATTGCATGAGAGCTTGAGTGAATGGCATGTGAACTTGAGAGAATGGCGAGCTTGAGAGAATGGCATACGAGCTTGAGAGAATGGCATACGAGCATGAGTGAATGGCATGCGAGCTTCAAAGATTGGCATGCGAGCTTGAGAAAATGGCATGCAAGCTTGAGTGAATGGCATGCGAGCATGAGAGAATGGCATGCAAGCATGAGAGAGTGGCATGCGAGCTTTAGTGAATTGCTTGCGAGTTCGAGAGAATGGCATGTGCGCTTCAGAGTTTGGCACACAAGCTTGAGAGAATAAGATGCGAGCATTAGAGCATGGCATCCGAGCTTGAGAGAAATGGCATGCAAGCTTGAGAGAATGGCGTGCGAGCTTGAGAGAATGGCATACGAGCTTGAGAGAGTGGCAAGCGAGCTTGGTAGAATGGCATGCGAGCTTGAGAGAGTGGCATGCGAGCTTGGTAGAATGGCATGAGAGCTTGAGAGAGTGGCATGCGAGCTTGGTAGAATGGCATGCAAGCTCGAGAGAATGGCATGCGATGGCATGTGAGCATGAGAGCATGGCATTCGAGCTTGAGTGAATGGCATGCGAGCATTAGAGAATGGCATGCGAGATTGAGAGAAATGGCATACAAGCTTGAGAGAATGGCATGCGAGCTTGAGAGAATGGCATCCGAGCATGAGGGAATGGCATGCGATCTTGAGAGAATCGCATGCGATGGCATGCGAGCTTGAGAGAATGGCATGCGAGCTTGAGTGAATGGCATGCCAGCTTCAGAGATTGGCATGCGAGCTTGAGTGAATGGCTTGCAAGTTCAAGAGAATGGCATGCGAGCTTCAGATATTGGCATGCGAGATGAGAGAATAGCATGCGAGCTTGAGTGAATGGCATGCGAGCATTAGAGAATGGCATGCGAGCTTGAGATAATCGCATGCGAGCTTGAGACAATGGCATCCAAGCATGACTGAATGGCATGCTAGCATGAGAGAGTGGAATGTGAGCTTGAGAGAATGCCATGCAAGCTTGATTGAATGACATGCGAGCTTTAGAGAATGGAATGTCAGCTGGTTCGAATGGCATGCAAGATTGAGAGTATGACATGCGAGCTTGAGTGTATGGCATGCGATGGCGTGCCAGCTTGGGAGAACTGCATGCGAGTTTGAGAAAAAGGCATGCGAGCTTGAGAGAATGGCATGCGAGGATGAAAGAGTGGCATGCGAGCTTGAGGGAATGGCATACGAGCTTGAGAGAATGGCATGCGATGGCATGCAAGCTTGAGAGAATGGCATGCAAGTTTGAGAGAATTGCATGCGAGCTTGAGAGAATGGCATGTGATCTTGAGAGAATGGCATGGAAGCTTGAATGAATGGCATGCGAGCTTAAGAGAATGGCATGCAATCTTGGAAGAATGGCATGCGAGCTGGTTTGAATAGCATGTGAGCTTGAGAGTATGGCATGCGAGCTTGAGAGTATGGCATGCAATGGCCTGCCAATTTGGGAGAATGGCATGCGAGCTTGAGAAAATGGCATGCGAGCTTGAGACAATGGCACTCGAGCTTGAGAGATATGGCTTGCGAGCATGAGTGAATGGCATGCAAGCTTGGTGAATGGCATGCAAGCTTGAGACAATGGCACACGAGCTGGAGAGATATGGCTTGCGAGCATGAGTGAATGGCATGCAAGGTTAGTGAATGGCATGCGAGCTTGAGAGAATGGCATGCGAGCTTGAGAGAATGGCATGTGAACAAGAGAGTATGGAATGCGATGTCATGGAAGCTTATGTGAATGGCATGTGATCTTGAGAGAATGGCATGCGAGCTTGAGTGAATGGCATGCGAGCTTCGGAGAATGGTATTCGATGGCATGCGAGCTTTAGAGAATGGCATGTTAGCTTGAGTGAATGAAATGCGAGCTTGAGGGCATGGCATGCAAGCTTGGTACAACGGGATGCGAGCTTCAGAGGATGGCATGTGAGCTTGAGAGCTTGGCAGGCGAGCTTGAGAGAATGTCATGCACTCATGCTTGAATGGCATGCAAGCTTCAGAGAATGGCATGAGCGCTTGAGTGAATGGTATGCGAGCTTGAGAGAATGGCATGTGAGCTTAAATGAGTGGCATGGGAGCTTGATTAAATGGCATGTACGCTTTAGTGAATGGCATGCAAGCTTTAGAAATGGCATGCGAGCTTGAGAGAATGGCATGCGAGCATGAGTGAATCGCATGCGGGTTTGAGAGAATGGCATAAGAGCTTCTGAGATTGGCATGCGAGCTTAAGAGAATGGCATGCGAGCTTGAGCGAATGGCATGCGATTTTGAGAGTATGGCTTGCGAGCTTTAGACAATGGCATGTGAGCTCGAGTTAATGGCATGCAATCTTGAGAGAATGGCATGCGAGTTTGAGAAATGGCATGCAAGCTTTAGACAATGGCATCCCAAGCTTGCATGCCATTCTCTCAAGCTTGCATGCCATTCTCTCAAGCTCACATGCCCTTCTCCAAAGCTCGCATGCAATTCTCTCAAGCTCGCATGCCATTCACTCAAGCCCGTATGCCATTGTCTCAAGCTCACAGGCCATTCTCCCAAGATTGCATACCATTCTCTCAAGCTTGCATGCCATTCTCTCATGCTTGCATGCCATTCTCCCAAACTCGCATGCCATTCTCTGAAAGTCGCATGGCATTCTCTCAAGCTCGCATGCCATTCTCCCAAGCTTGCATGCCATTCTCTCAAGCTCGCATGCCACTCATTCAAG